GTTTAGGGTTTAGGGTTTAGGGTTTAGGGTTTGGGGTTTAGGGTTTGGGGTTTGGGTTTGGAGGGGTTTTCTTGTCAAACAAACCAGAAATTGGAAAAGTTGACGAAATTCTGGGGCCTATTAATGAAATGGTTAGGGTTTAGGGTTTAGGGTTTAGGGTTTAGGGTTTGGGGTTTAGGGTTTGGGGTTTGGGTTTGGAGGGGTTTTCTTGTCAAACAAACGAGAAATTGGAAAAGTTGACGAAATTCTGGGGCCTATTAATGAAATGGTTAGGGTTTAGGGTTTGGGGTTTAGGGTTTAGGGTTTAGGGTTTAGGGTTTAGGGTTTAGGGTTTGCGCTGCAGTATTTTTCCGTCAAGCTGAATGAAGGCATAAAGGCTTCCTCCATTAAACCCGCGACGAAGGTAAAGATAAACCCTAAACCCTAGCAGTCTAAACCCTAAACCCTAATATTCGAAGCCGTAAACCCTAGAAGTCTTAACCCTAAACCCTAGAAGTCTAAACCCTAAACCCTAGAAGTCTAAACCCTAAACCCTAGAGCCTTTTTTTGCACATCGTCCTTTGCCCCAGCAGCTACACTTCTTCGCTGCAGCAGCAACAGCTACTTGCTGCAGCTGCTGTTGCTGCAGCTGCTGCCGCTGTTGCTGCAGCTGCTGCAGCTGCTGCAGCTGCTGCTGCAGCTGCTGCTGCAGCTGCTGCTGCCGCTGTTGCTGCAGCTGCTGCTGCAGCTGCTGCTGCAGCTGCTGCTGCAGCTACTGCTGCAGCCGCACCAAGCATCCGTTGCTGCAGCTGCTGCTGCAGCTCCGGCTTGCACTTATTTGCTGCTGCTGCTGCTGCTGCTGCTGCTGCTGCAGTTTTTTGTGGACGTGAACCAAACCCTTCCCCTCTCTCGGTTTCTTCCGAAGCCCCCAATTGCAAAGGGCGCAGCCGGTGGAGCCAAGCCGGGTAAGGGTTTAGGGTTTAGGGTTTAGGGTTTAGGGTTTAGGGTTTGGGGTCTGTAGGATGCAGGTTGCGGCTTTCGGCGCATGCCTGAAGATTAAGCGTTCAGGGTTTAGGGTTTAGGGTTTCTGCTTGCTGCCTTATCTCCAGATGAGTCCTGCGCTCAAAACCGAGGGTTTAGGGTTTAGGGTTTAGGGTTTAGGGTTTAGGGTTTAGGGTTTGCAGCTGCAGGAAACGCCAGGGGCCGCGGCGGCAGAGGCGGCAGCAGCAGAGGGGCCCGAGGGGGTTTTCGAGGAGGGTTTAGAGGGGCCCCCAGAGGGGGTGGCGGCGGCTTCAGGTGCGCAAACCCTAAACCCTAAACCCTAAACCCTAAACCCTAAACCCTCGACTGTTCGCAGCGGGCGCTGCGGAGGAACAGGGCTAGTGCCGTCAGGGCTTGGGATGCAGGGTTTAGGGTTTAGGGTTTAGGGTTTAGGGTTTGGGCGACTTTGCAGGGGCGGAAGAGGAAGAGGGCGTTAGCGAGCTGCAGCAGCAGCAGCAGCAGCAGCAGCGGCAGCAGCAGCAGCAGCAGCAGCGGCAGCAGCAGCACTTGCCTTTGCTGCAGCAGTTACTGCACGATTCCCTAGAGCGGCAGCAGCAGCAGCAGCAGCAGCAACTGCAGCTGCAACAGAAACAGCTGCTGCGGCGTCAGTTGCTGCAGCTGGTTTGGGGCTGTCTTTTCTTGCATGCAGCCCCAAAATGCATTTCTTGTTTTTGTCTTTGTGGGGCCCTTCGCCTTGAGGCCGCAGACAGCAGCAAATGGGAATTATCCAGCTAGCCACAGCTAGCCACAGCTAGCCACAGCTAGCCACAGCTAGCCGCAGCTAGCCACAGCTAGCCACAGCTAGCCAGCTAGCCATAGCCAGCTACAGCTAGCGCAACTAGCCACAGCTAGCTAGCTAGCCACAGCTAGCCACAGCTACCTAGAGCTAGCTGCAGCTAGCCACAGCTACCTACAGCTAGCTGCAGCTAGCCGCAGCTAGCCATAGCTAGCCAGCCAACCACAGCTAGCCACAGCTGGCTAGTTAGCCACAGCTAGCTACCCGTAGCTACAGCTTGCCGCAGCTAGCTACAGCTAGCTGCAGCAAGCCACAGCTAGCTGCTGCTAGCCATAGCCTTCTACAGCTATTCATAGCTAGCTGCACTTATTCGCAGCTAGCTGCAGCTAGCTGCAGCTTGCTACAGCTAGCTGCAGCTAGCTGCAGCTTGCTATAGCTAGCTGCAGCTTGCTACAGCTAGCTACGGCTAGCTACAGCTAGCTACGGCTAGCCACAGCTAGCTACGGCTAGCCACAGCTAGCTGCGGCCGATCTGGATGGGAGATCTTGGCTAGCTACTACACTGGCGGAGGCTAGCCACAGCTAGCCGCAGCTAGCCACGGCTAGCCAGAGCTAGCCACGGCTAGCTGCTGGCCCCTGGCTAGCCACAGCTAGCCACGAAAGAGCTCGGGGGACAGCTAGCCATAGAGAGCGTGCTGCTACTGCTGGCCGGCTAGCTAGCTAGCTAGCTAGCTAGCTAGCTAGGGGCTGAGGCCACATACCTAGCTAGCTAGCTAGCTGGGCAATCAGAGGTTGAGCCAGCCAGCAGGCTAGCCAGCTAGCTAGCTGGGAAGTGGGGCCAGCTTGCTGGCTAGCTAGCTGGCTAGCTAACTAGGAATTGGCTGGCCAGCTAGCTAGCTAGCTAGCTGGGCTTTCGGGCTGCTGCGGCCCGAGGGGCCGGGGCGCCGCTGAAGAAAGCTGCAAACCCTAAACCCTAAACCCTAGCGCGCTGAGCAGCTAGCTGTGGTCTTCCGGGGCTAGCTGTGGCTAGCTGCAGCAGCTGCTGCTGCTGCTGGCCAGCAGCAGGAGCTGCAGCAGCTAGCTGCGGCAGCTCCACCGCTCGCTCGGCCTAGGGTTTAGGGTTTAGGGTTTAGGGTTTAGGGTTTAGGATGTGGGGGTTGGGTGAGTCGGCGGCAGCGGCGCGGTGTCTGTACACCTGAGCTGCTGCAGCGAAGCGCATGCAGCGGGAAAAAAGTAAAATTAAATTTTGAATTTATTTTAAATAAATAAATAAATAAATAAATAAATAATTTATTTATTTATTTATTTATTTATTTAAATTCTTTTGAAGGAAATGGCCACGGAGAAGGGGCCCCAGGGGGCTCTCCCGCCTCCTGCATGCGCCTCTGGAGTTGAGGGTTTAGGGTTTAGGGTTTAGGGTTTAGGGTTTTCCTTTTCTTTCGGCTACAGAATGAAGTGAAGGGCAGCAGCGTCTGCAGCAACAGCAGCAGCAGCAACAGCAGCAGCAGCGGCAGCAGCAGCAGCAGCAGCAGCAGCAAAAGCGGCAGCAGCAGCAGTTTATGTGTCCTACTGCCTTGACTTTAAACCCTCTTTAATGTGAGGTACCAGCTGCTGCCGCTGTGCGTGGATGTCTAGGGTTTAGGGTTTAGGGTTTAGGGTTTAGGGTTTAGGGTTTAGAGGTGGAACTCCTTCGCAACATCTCAGCTGCCACAAGCCTCCGAATGCGACGCCACTGTCTGTTTTTGCTGCTGCTGCTGCTTCTGCTGCTGCTGCTGCTGCCGCCTTTGCTGCTGCTGCTTGTGCTGCTGCTACCGCTGCTGCTGCTGCTTGTGCTGCTGCTGCTGCTGCTGCTGCTGCTGCTGCTGCCTGTGCTGCTGCTGCTGCTGCTGCAGCTCACGGCAATGGTAACTGCGGGTGCATCTTCGGGGGCCGCTCAAGGGGATGGTAGCCGCCAGGTGAGTTCCTGTAGCCTAGGGTTTAGGGTTTAGGGTTTAGGGTTTAGGGTTTAGGGTTTAGGGTTTGAGAGCGGGTGTGTGGCTAGCCCAGGGTCTACGGCTTAGGGTTTAGGGTTTAGGGTTTAGGGTTTAGTGTTAACTGCTGCGGCCTTCTTGGTGGTGCACGCTTTTTGTGAAGCTGAAAGCTCTGCAGCTGCTTCTAAGGCTCTAGCCTTCAGGGTTTAGGGTTTAGGGTTTAGGGTTTAGGGTTTAGGGTTTAGGGTTTAGGGTTTGGGGTTTAGGGTTTGGGGTTTAGCGAGAGCCGCTGCTGGCACTCTTCCTGTGCACGTTTCTCGTGTATCTCTCTGCCTCGAGGCTGCGCGTCTCGCTCCTAAGGGTTTGGGGTTTAGGGTTTAGGGTTTAGGGTTTAGGGTTTAGGGTTTAGGGTTTAGGGTTTGCGTGCAGCCGCTGCTGTCGGTGAAGGCCGGCCGCTGCCTCCTCAGCGGCAAGCTGGTGTCTCCCGACGTGCGCAAAGGCTGTCTTCAATTATTTCAAGTAAATAAAAATAAATAAATAAATAAATAAATAAATAAATAAATAAATATAAATAAATAAATAAATAAATAAATAAATAAATAATTAAATTAATTAATTTAAATGAATAATTCAGCCAAAAAGACGCAATTTGATGCGCTTACGGGCCGTGGGTGGCGAGTGGTTGCGGGTAAAGGGTTTAGGGTTTAGGGTTTAGGGTTTAGGGTTTGGGGCTTGGGTGGAGGTGGTTTGGAAAAGCGGCGAAGAGAGAAACCCTCAGGTGCACTTGCTAGGGTTTGTAAACCCTAATTTGCAAACCCTAATTGGCAAACATTAGGGTTTGTAAACCCTAGCTCGCCTTGCTGTGTTGCTGCGTGTTGCTGCTGCTGCTGCTTCTTGCTGCTGCTGCTGCTGCTTCTTGCTGCTGCTGCTGCTGCTTCCTGTTGCCTCCTGCTGCTGCTGCCTGCTGCTGCTGCTGCTTCCTCCTGCTGCTGCTGCCACACTGCCTTGCTGCACTGCCTGGCTTCTTCGCCGCCGCTGCTGCTGCTGCCGCTGCTGCTGCTGCTGCTGCTGCTGCAGCGGAGCAGCAGCAGCGTGAGTTTGTCTTGGAGTTTGCGGCCCGGGGGAGAAAGAGTGGAAGAAATAATTCTTCCAGGAGACACTTCTTTGCTGCTGCTGCTGAAGGACACAGCACAAATTGCTGTTTTCAAGTCCCCCTCCGCAGGTTGCTGCTGCTGCTGCTGCTGCTGCTGCTGCTGCTGCTGCTGCTGCTGCTGCTGCTGCTGCTGCTGCTGCTGCTGCTGCTG